TGTTGTTCAGGAGGTTCTTGACCATTTGGTGGACTATTTCATAGCGTTTGCTTCAGAGCCCGTGATCGTTCGCGCAGCCTTACTCCTGACCCTTGATCCAATCGGGTCCGGGGGATGGGTCACCAGTTCTCCACCATCCACGATGGCTAAGCAAGCGTAAGCGAACGTACAGCATAATAATAATAAGTGTCACTGTATTATAATCTGTATGATACTGTATATGCTGTATATTAATGTTCATATGCTGATTCTGTCAGTACTTGTTGTGCTGTATTTATGTACAATGTGTGAAATTGCTAATTCATCTGACATGAAGTTGTCCAATGGAGTTTTTAGTGGAGGCACTTAAGCCTGGTGTGGTGTGTTGACCTGCTCAAAATGGCAGATGGATTAGACAGCCCATCGATGAGAATCCAAGGTTTTGGAATAACACTCCCAGGTAGAGAATGCAAGAAATCTGGAAGAGCACAATGAAGATACGGTTGGATGCTGACTTGTTGGATTCCCTACTCGTTACATGTACTGCAATATATTGTCACATTGTGATAATCAGTAGAGAACTCATGGCCATGGTGCCGCGCATTGTCGCAGTTCGAGCGTAGCGGCGTAGCCGGCTCAGGATGGCACATGTGGGTGCTTACAGTTTCAATGCTACAAAAGCTCAACGCTCGGCCTTCACGAAGCTAGACAGGAGCGCGGGAAACGGGCGGAGATGATCAGAGATCAGAGCACATATATACTGTAACAGGTTTGTTGCGAGGTATCGTTGAAGCATTTTGAAGCTGAGAGCTTTGTACTTGTAGGGTTTCAAACAGTTGTGGAGACAACCTCTTAGTTCAACCCGGTGGAACCCTGGATGGCTGGCTTGGAACAACATTGCCGGCGCAAAATCCATAGGATGACATGTGTCCACACGGTGATCGTTGGGCGCGGAAAAGACTAACTGCCCACAATGAGGATCACTTGGACTCGCCAATGAAGAACCTCAGGTAGTAAGCCGAGGCTTACCCTGCTTGGATAGCAGCTGATCTGATATGTAGTCATCCTGTCGTGTCATCTAGTGTCAGCTGGCCGTACAAACTCATTCATACTGTTCACACGAACTCATTCATGTTCATTCCGTCGGTCCCGCTTCAGAACTTCCAGTGGTGGCCTTTGCATGGAAGAGCTGGAAGCCTTCTATGATGATCGTGCCTCGCCACGTACTCGATGTGGTGGTTATTTTTTATACTTTTTGGTACTGTACCCCATTCAGTCGGACACTACTGTTGATACAGAACAAAAGAGACTTTGCGACCATTCACACTGTTCTCGGTTTTGAGTCGTGCAGTTTTTTGTCGAGCAGTAAGAGACGTGGCACATCCTGGCACAAGGCACAAGGACATTGTTTCTTCCACGGCCAGGCCATGCCAGGCCTAAAGGATGGGATTGGACAGATGTCCAAATCAAACACCAAATGCGATGTTCAGGTATATTTCGCAGTGCTTTTCACACTCCAAAAGAGGGAATAGGTAGCGAGGCCACTGCCGTTCCAGTTTTGCGATCCAATAGCGTGAATGGCAGACAGATGCTGTGCACTTCCATGATTCCATCAGTGTATAAGCTTTGTATGGACTTGCTGCATGCACCAGTTCAGGACTGACTGACATGTTGTAGTATGTTGATGCGTTCAATCTCCGACTCAAGGCAAGATGCCGATACCTGAAGTGCTGGAAGATGCCTTTAGCGGCATCGACGTTGATGATGATGGCTCCTCAGTTTGTTTCAGCAATGCACATGGCTAACATCACTTGTATTTGATCGCTTGAGTATGACAATAGGAACAGAGGCACTCGTCCGACAAGGCACATGGAACCACCGATTGCACTACAGACAAGGTTCTTCCAAAAACGAGGACACGAGTTTCTTTGGCAGGGAACCCCCCTGCGTGTGAAAAACTAAACCATATGTATTTTGGTACTTTATTCCTCAAACCTCAAAATCTTGGCGGGTCATGTCTATGGCCCCGTGGGCATGAATTGCCAATAACGTCAAGAGATTGTCAGAGTCATAGAATGGGATCTAGTCAGGACATGCTTGTCATCATCTTGGCATGTTGGTGTTTATTTACCAGCCTTTCTTCGTCTTGTTTCTCGCCCGTGGCTCCAATTACCATGAACGTAGGATATGATAAAACTGATAAATGGCATGAACTGGCCACGTTAGGGCATTGGAGTTCTAAAGCAGCCTGGCGGGTTCTATTCTATCTTCTCTCCGTTTTTTTGCTTGGTTTGCCGGTGATTTCACTAGTCAACAGAATCAGTGAATCAAGGCTTGAATGATATAGAAAATCCGTCCAAATACTGGCTCCTGATAGAACAAATAAGAAATACTTTGCAACTTCAAATCTCGGGTTAGCTATGAATCTCTTTGATATTATTAACCTGCTTTGCCGGAAAGCAAGCTGTTATATAATAATGCGAGCATGTCTTGTGTTTTCATCCTTTGCAAGCTGCTTGCAACGAAGTGGCAAGGCTACATCACATATATCGAGTTCCTGTCTGCAACCTTGCCGAACAAAATCCGTTGCAACGAGACATTTTGCCGAAGCCTCTTGCTTGCAGGGTGCAACCGGGATCTATGTTGTTGGAACATCTATGAGAGAAGACTATCCAGATGCCACATGCAATCCTTTGCCTTTGTGTAGATTTCTGTGGATTCAATGATATTGAATGTAAGCTTCCCGCCGGGCCCAGTGGCAAATATCCAGACCCCAAATGAGTTTCCGACGCTTGCCTCTTCCGGTGTCCCATGGTGTCCGTCTCAGGGGTCTTTGAGCTGATGGATCGGAATGACGATGGCTACATCGATGCCAGCGATCTGTCGCAGGAGAGATGCGAATGGATCGAGTCCGAAGAACAAGCTCCTAGTAGCGTCCTTGCTCCTAGTAGTAAGGCCAGGAGCCCCTAGTAGCGTCCTTGCTCCTGGTAGCGATGCCCTTTGCTCCTAGTACTGTAGCGTCCTAGACACCATTTGTCTTTTTTTTAATATTCCCTGCCGCCTTAGGGAAATTAACCCGGGTGACTACTGAGTCTCGGATTAATTTTCTTGGATTAATCTTTATCGATGGTAGGATTTGGGTCATAGTTTCGTACAACCATTCTGGATTTTTTTCTACTATCAGATTTGTAGCTTGAGCGTACCACGGATTACTTTTGAGACGTGGAGGTTTGAGGAATATTAATCATGAGGTGATGCAGAAGTGGAGCCACCCCTGGATTAATTTCCCCCCCCAGCCTAAAAATTACTGTAATCCAGACTCAACATCCTCCAGATTAATTTTCTGAAAACACTCTGGAGGTAGTCAGAATATTTTAAAAAATAATCCAGGGGTACCCCCCTCTACTCTCCATCTTTTTTTAGCCTGGGCTCGGGGTACTGGTAGGCCGCTCCGCTATAGGAAGAGGTGTAAGCTAGTTAGTAGCTCCATTAGGTACTGGACGCTACTAGTTTGTGGGCGCAGGATTGCTCACGCTTCTATTCATTTGGTTCCTAGATGGTTGGCGCGATGGATCCGCATAGAGAGTCGTCATATTTTTGGCGAGCACCGAGCTTTAGACCTCGAGCGGACTGACATATTTCAGAGGTCAAGTTTGGACACAGTATACCACACTGCAGAGGGCCGCAAGTCAAGCTCCCGTCGGTTTTCTTTTGCTGTGCTGCAAGATGCAAACGCTATGTATGTCCGAATGCCACAGACCTTAATCGAACGAAAGCAGAGGCCAGGGCTGGCTTGGCAAAAGACACTTAAGGTAGACAATTACTGGTTTGTGATTTGCTAATGAAGATTACCACCGTAGGCGGACGCATTTGATCAAGGCAAGATTGGGCTCCCCCGAGTCGCAACATGCCAGGCCCTCATGGCAGGCAACGATCATCGAGGTGCTGCACGCCATGGTCTTCGTTTGCTTGAAGACACGGCCTCCAACCTTTACATAGTAGCATTATTGAACATGATAACAAGAACCTAATAGCCTAATAGCAATGACCTCCAACCTGGGGAACTTCATGAAAATACCGATCTTCGCCGCACGCCGAAAGGATGTGCAAGGCAGTCCCTGGAAAAGGTCGAAGCAACGTGAGAAAACCACACAGTTCATGCGATGTTGGAGAGGTCGTTAGTGGTATCGTCATTGTTCCAAGAAAAGCTTCTAGAGCACGGCCTCATGCCAGGCGTGTGCCGCGAAAGCTTGGCAGAAGTGAGCCAACAGGAAGAGCGAATTAGTTGGCAACAGTTTTTGACGCTGATGCGTAGCCCCAAAGTCTTGGGCTGTCCTCCAGTTGAATAGCGGGTGCAACAAGTGATCGATTTATATATAGTTATAAAGTGACTTGATCAGAGTCAGACTGTCTCGATACGCGTGCCCTGAGTCAACTGCTGGGCAGCGATCCAAGACCGTTTGATTGCACTGCAGTTTAGTTTGGGCAAGATTGCATGGGCAGTTTTTCACGGACTGGTGTAGTTGGCAGTTGTACTTTGACAAGAAGCTCGATTTGGGAGGCTGTCAGATATTCATCCCAGGACCTACAGTAGCAGGTAAATGTTGGTGGGTACCCTCAAGACCCAAGAGCACTTGGTGCACTTGGTGTGTCGAAAGTTAAAAGAGTGTGTTCCATGCGCAATTGCCAGTCTTTGATCCTCAGAAGCCAATGGTAGCGTAGTGACCCTGGTCAGAAAGACTCCTGCAGGTGATTCGTGCTGATGCATGATGCACGATGCATTAGCATTAGCATGTTTGCTACATGATGGTAGATGCCCAAATACATTCATACAGTAATTGGCCTTTTTGTACCTGAGAATCCACTGAGTTCATGTTCTTTTGGACACCCCAGACGAGATGTCCAAAGTACAGCCAATTGTTGCGCCTAGCTCCTGCATCTTGTGAGACACCCGCGGATCTGCAGGAAAAGTCGTGCCTGTTTGACTTATCCCGCAGGGCTGTGCACATTGGTTGCCGCAGGTGGCCTACTGGGACGAGTACATGCGGCGTCCAGATGTGCGCAAGGGCCGCCATTGCATCAGGCCATAACTGGCAGCGCAACCAGACGAAATCGAATCAACTAATGCAAGGTCCCAACTGCGATGCAACTTCATGCAACTTCCGGCAGTGGAACTCCGACAAACACCCAAGATTGGTACAAACGAAGATCTATTAGACGAGCATCCACTCCAGGTCAATGTCCTTTTGTGCAGATCTTTCGATTCATTTCCAGGCCGGAAATCAGCCGATCCTTCACCTTTGGTGAAGAAGGAGTCTCGGGTGGTACCCAGCTCAGAGGAGGTCAGTTGTGGGATGACACCAAGTAGAAGCGTGGGATTGCCCCCGTGCACAAGAGCGGAGCACGCTGCCATGCACCAGGACAGGCGCACCCCTAGGGTCAAGACCTAATCACCTTGGGGGTCCCCGAGATGACGTGGGCCAAACACCTGCGTCATGTGTATCACTATACAATTAGTCACTATATAATTGCTTTGAATGTATATATGTGACTTTGTGGATTTGCACAGGTGCTCTTTGGACATCTTTGGACTGTTTGCACAAGACAAGGTTTGGATAGGTTGGGCAACTATTCCAGCTGGTGAAGAGGCTTTGGACTCTGGACCAACATCCCGGTGGCTTGGGGGTGATGCCGCTCTGAAAATTTCTGAAGAGCAAAAATTGTCCCATGCTGTCACCCTCAGAGTAAGAGATAGCTGCCAGAATGCTGAACCATACCATACTAGGTACTAGCGTTAAGTCGACTCAGCTTGTGTAAAGTCGACTCAAAACCGTGTACCCTTGCAGAACTGCACTCCAAAGGGATGTCTAAGCATAGATTGTATTGATCTATAACACATGTTTTGTGTTGTGCCCATGGTGTGCCCTGATTGTAACTTGTTTGTATTTATGAATCTGTTCTTTGGGGGAGGGCAGCTTCCACAGGGGTGAAGGGACAAGGATTTGTGATAGTTTTGATGCAGAGCTCTTGGGGCCCATGCTCCACTGCTGCTGCTGCTTCTGTTTCGGTTGACCGTAGGAAGCTGTAGGACGACTGTATGAGTCGTGCTCGCGCAAACCTCGCGCGGGGCTCGCGCAGAGGCCTATAGTCACTTGTGCGCGCGCGTGCAACATATTCTCTAAGTTGCACATTGGTGTGAACGGTGCTGTGCCATTGAGACTTGGGCTTGAAACATCTAGAAAGCAAGGCCAAATGCCAGCCATAACACAGTGTGCGCACACTTTTCCTTGAACATATCACTTTCCTGCCGTGCTCATAATTCAAGTGTGCCCATTGTGCTTTGACCAAATTTAATCGACTTCACGCGAGTGGGTTGACTTCTCGCTGAAACCTTGTGCCCATGCAATGAGTTGACTTCACGCGTCGTGGGCAGACTCAAGTACGCCGCTTGTACTTTCATCTGCCCGGCTTGGCTGACTTGAAACCGAGGTCAATTCTTCAAAGGACACCTTGGGTTGGGGTCTTAGTGGATCCTGTTGAAGATCTGCATACACCAACTGCGGTTCAATGAAGAAGTCCAAGCTACTGAGCTGCTTGATATCGGGATGGCAGATCATGGAAGCAAATGACAGCATGACTTTTGCGGGGAATAGTATCGATACCATCTTCCAGATGAATCTGGAGGTGGTAAATTTCATAATCTAGGTGGGTTCAAAAAAAAATGCCTCATAAAATGTGTGTATGGCTGCATAAGGGAAATTATTCTTGAGCAGGAGGTATTGTTATTGAGAAGTAGTTGACCGCACAAAAAAAATAAATATATAAACATCTTCACCCTTCTCTGGCTGGGCTAGGGTCCAGGGTTGTTTGTGAGTATTGTCCTGTTGCTGGAAGCATGCATTGCTGCTGCAATTGAACCACACAACCACCACAACTGTTTCTGATGTGTTTTTTGCTCATCCCTCAGCTGGCACAACTCGCGAGGCAGGACACAAGAAATGGAACAGTGGTCTCAACGACAGCCGTTGTTTTAAAAGAAAGTTTGATAAGACACAAGTCACAAATGCTACAAAAAAAGAACCAACATCTCAGTTTCAGATTCTAACTTCGACCTGCCATGGTGTTGCTCAGCACCAGTGCAGTGGGTTTAGCTCACGAGATTCGCTCAAGAGCTTCTAGGGCATATGAGTTTGCCCTCACTGCAGCTAGACCAGTTCTAGCCTTTGGCACTGAGAAGGAGGCGGCATGCAGGGCATTTACTTTGGTGAATTCTTGATTGTTGAGTAGTTGTTTCTGTGGAGATGTGCTCTCTCTCTCTCTCTCTCTTTATCGTTCTCTCTATTTATAATTGCCTCCAGGTGATTCAGCTGCAATTTGTTTGTACTAGCTCATTGGAAACATGTTGGATGGTCGAGTCAATGAAAATTGAAACATATGCCAGATACATGCCATACATGCCTTGCACAAGTCATGCAGGTTCACGCCTTGCGAGATCTTGCATTGATATTGATCGAACTTTCCCATGCAACTTGACCTTTTGGAATGCATTATGTCATTATGTGATGCTTGTGTTGAACACTAGAATGGGATTTCTCCAAACAGGCTTGACAAAAAATCAAACCATGAAACTTCTTATACTTCAGACTTTCATGACTTCAGAATTCAGACTTTATACTTCTGATAGGGGCATTGGAATTTGTTGACGAAATGTTCATCTTCAGGTACAAGCGCCAGACTCCTTGAATGTCCTGCAAAAGGCCTTCAAGCCCTGTGTGAAGCAATTTGGAGGCAGAGCTGGCCGGCCCGCCTTTTCCCTTCTCCAGCTCTACAGATGTGTATCCTTGACCCTCAGAACTTGAAGGTCACACAAGAGTGTGTTGATCGAGCAAGTGTGTTGATCAGCTTATGGGTAGAATCGACACTCAGGAATCAGCAGAGTCAATGTCAACGGTCATCGCATTTGTTTGTTGGTGGCGGCGGCCACTGTTGCCGGTTGCCAAGGAGCATCAACCTCCGCAATGCCTCAAAGTTTTCAGTGACTATGAAGACAGCCTTGCAACTGGCAATGGGAGAAGTTGACATGGGTAGCACTGTACAGGTTGCTTGTACAAATCGAGCAGGTATGGTATGCAATGCAGGCATTGCAGGCTGTGCATGTATACAAGGTGAGAGGTGATAAGTATAATGAGAGAAACTGAGAAGTGAGCCGTTTTTTAGATATATATAATAAGGTCGAGTCAAGGTCAAGGTCAAGGACCAAGGAGTCAAGAAGTCTTGGGTTTGACTTTGACTGACTAGAATCAGGCTTACAGTAAAGCACCTTAGCCTGAGCCTTCAGCCTTCATAGTTGTCACATCAGAATCACCATCTATCCTATCTATCTGAGGCTATTTGTGACGACCTTGAGAAAGATACTTCATCTTCAGTTCGGGGTCCTTCAGCTGCCACCCTTAGCAGAGCCCGCTTTAAGCTGGACTTCTTGGCCATGTTCATAAGGCAGTATCAATGGCGTCAGGAGGGATACCAATCTTTTGTGCTGAGCCTTTGTTCCTAGGGTGCAATTGAGCTGGGTGCAACGATGCGACATGAACATCCACAGCGCAGTACTATGGCGCGTGTGAACAAAAGGAAACACAAATGCACAGCACAAGTACTGACAAGTACCTTCTTAAATACCAAGGCTACGACTCAAGCCTGCAACGACGCGAACTTTTCTTGTGCGAGGAGTTCTCTACAAGGTGCTCGGGGAGTGCTCCGCTTATTACTTTACCAACTGACCACTGAACTGACCAGGAGACACTGACCACATTTTATGTTTGTTTATTTGCATGAAGGGCTTGCGCTGTAGAGGAAAAGCACAGGCACTAGTTCAGGGTTTGTAGTTTGTGCCAGCTACCTTCCTTGTCCACAGTGTCCACACTGCACACAATGTAGTGTTTTGTGTTTTGACTTACCTGCCTTCTTACCCTTATACTTCTCGGGTGAAGCAAAACATGGCTAAGAAATATCAAGCCGCGGATCCAGCAGTGAAAAGCCTAACAAGGTTATACTTCTAGACTCCTAGGTTAGCAACCCCTGGCCAGGCAGGACGATGCAGTGGAAGATTTCATCCAGTCTTGGGATACCATTAGCCAAAGACGAATGGATGCTAGACACAGGCTCACCACTGACACAAGATGCTTGCCAATGTGCTGCATGGGGAAGGGTGGCTCGGCTCAACCTAAATCAAACATGACAAGAAGGCATACTACACACACACAAACACACACTACATCGCTCTGCACTCCGCACTATGTGGGGAGTGGGGACAGTGGGAGCCATGGCCCACCATGTAGCTTGACCTGGCTGATAGGTCAACCAAGGTAATCAGATTTTGACCCACAGCCATGTGGGTTTGGTCACATGGTCAATGACCACCTAGAGAGCTGGCAGGTGTTGGGCTGTTGACTCATGCATGCGATATATGCCAATTCAAGCAAACACCTCGCCAACCAGTGGATGAATTGTTGCATCCTTAAAACTTAAAACTATATAATATATAAATGGATTGAATAGAGTGAAGTGAAGATGGATTTTCTTTAACGCCCCCGGCCCCCAGGCCCTCCTATGCCTATGACATATGACCTATGGAAATACATGCAGTGCAGCCAAATAAACTGCAACTGGGCATTCAACACCTCACCAACATGGCCTTCCCACAACGTATGAATTGATTTTGATTTCCCTTATGTCCAAAAACGGTACGGTATACGGACGACGGACGGACTCTCCATTCTGAAGGAAAATCAGAGGAAGCGGAGGAGGAGGAGGAGGAGGATCAGCTGAACGATGCTGAACCATTGCAAGGCCCACTGTTGCGGTGTCCGAAGAGGATGAGGATGATGAGGATGAGAGGAGTAGGCCGAGGATCATGAGCGAAGAGCCAGTTGCGCGTGTTTGCCCCTTGTTCAGCGCACATGTAGCAAAGGCGACGCGACCAGCTTTGTTCACCTTTCGGGCAAGTAGTGTGCAGTGGGAAAGGGGATTGGTAATGCCTCCAAGTCAGTCAGTTTGGCACAAAACACTTGCCCATGGTCACCATGGTCCCTATGTTCGACTTGGCCTGAGCGTCACAGCGTCATTGAGCGTTAACTCTGATCAGCTACTCTAGCAGGTAGCAGAAGCAGTGTTCAAAAGTACATAGCAGTGGCATTGGAGGCTTTGTGGTGACTTCTTGGATTTTCTTGGTTTGTGGACATCTGCCGGGCTTGCACGGCCACTTTATACACCTTCCTTGATTGTCATGAGCTCATGAGTTGGGAGTTCTGACCAGCAGGGTCATGTTTGCAGAAGTAGAGCAGGCAGTGTAAGCTACATCGTTCCAAATGGGTGTGACTGTGTCTCATGACCCCTTACAACGAATCGAAAACTTGACTTCCTCATGATGTGTTGGGCTTCCGTAGCTTCCGTGGCACAATTGAATAGTCTTAGCAAGTACCTGGTGACTGAGTTGGGGAACCTCTTCTTTCTGAGAAGTACTTATATGACATGACATATGCACTGTTGCAAACCTTTTTTTGTGGTCGGGGCAATACATGCATGCCACAGAATTGAAGCGGTACTGCAAGCGAGTTGCTGATGAAGCAAATAAGGTCTTTAGCGTGGAAACTTTGTTTAGCATGGTTGCGGCTTGATGCTGGAGGCGTAGGAGCCCATACCAGGAGAGTTGACTGCTTTGGTTTTGGTCACGCTAAAGCAGAAGCACATACAGCATACAGATGTATTTTCATGTGTCCGGGAAAAAAAACACAGTCATTTAGTCATGCGTCATGACCCCAGTTAAACGTGCGCAACACACAGACATACAACCACATACTTGAATGTGAATGTTGGTCTGCCAAATGCAACCTCAGGCTTTACTGCCTTTGTCCACAAGCTCGATGCGCTGCTTTTCATCATTGGTTTGGAGGTGGCAACAGGCAAACAAAGCAGGCAACAAGGTATCACTTCATACTGTTCCCGGGTGGTTTGCAACTTGTCAGACCAGGGCAACTTGTCTGAATGCTGCAACCAACAAGTCAGCATGGAGTAAGTAAGGCAGTAAGCTTTGTTGTTCTGTCAGCGACTCGACAGTTAAAGATACACTCTTTGCAATTTTCAAGTTGCTCAAAAAAAAACGGTTTGTCAGTGTCAGGCTGAAGTTGACGTTTGGTATCAGTTGTATGCTTGAGGCACCGAAGTTAAACTGGCTGATGCAGTTGTCCCTGATGCTGGCAAACTCTGCTGCGATTTATCTTTGGACCTTTTGGAGAACCAAGACACCGTTCGGGTTGACACCAAAGAAATCAGGGATATCAATCTAGGCATTTGCCGACCACCACAGACTACAACCAATTGGCCACAACTGCACAAAGAAACTCAGCCTTTTCAACTAGAGGACGAGACCAACACACCAGAGCCGCTTCCTCTTGTTCCTGCTCCAAGTCGAGCTGGGGAAGGGTCCAAGAATGTTATTATCATTGACGTTGACGATGA